CACTGTGGTCTGTAAAGAGAGTAACACAAAATTTTTAAATTATCTAAAATAAATATTTAAAAGCAAACATCAAAATATTTGGTTCTGTTGCTTGTTTAAGCATCCACCACTTCGGACGTTTTTTTTCTTTTGCTTTTCATATTGAACTGTCTTTCGTTTATAAACTATAACTCGGAAAAAAAGAATTAAAAACCCTTCAGAATTTTTAAAATTTCCTTATTTTCAAATTGAATAGAATATAGACAGTATCATTATTTATTTTGTATTTGGGAACCTTACAACTTAGTTTCCAGAACAAACAACTTAATTTGTCAATCCTTAAAATTTAGTTTTGAGAACTGGGAGATATATAGACACAGGTAAAAATAAATTATCGTGGTTTTATTAGTTCCTTTGGGTTTATGTCATCATCTGTACCTTCAAAAAAATTGTAAAAGCTTATGGCTTTGATAGTTTTTTTATTTTTGCAGTGCATTCCCTGGTTCAAAATAATACTCAGGTACATTATAGTTATCTCCAAATTATATTTAAACATGAATTATTATTTTAGAGTAAACACCAAAAATACCCAGTTAAAAGGAATTTGAAAAAGATACTTCACAAATTATCTAATTAGAACCAAATGTCTATTATTGTGTGAAGCTCTTTTCCTGCCCTTTCCAGCAGGTGTTGAATCTATATCTTTCATTGGAAGTTTTCAAGCATCTAAGATCTTCATCTTTTATCGAGAATATTTTATTTGTCATATTTTTGTTCTATCAATCACGAAAGGAACACCAATATTTTAAAAAAATGTATTTGTGTTCTTCTCCCAGGTTTGCCTGTGCTCAGCTGAAAATCTATGCCCTAGAGTCCAACTTTTAACATGTAACAATTCCATTAGTGGTATTTTTATTAAATAATAGTCTCTAGCAGCACTTTGAAACTTTTCTATCTCATATGAGAAGGATAATTCAAAGCACATTTTAAAGCAGAGGAGTGCCACAGCTTTCTGAAGGAAAAGTAGGAGGAATTTATTAATGTGGACGGAAGAAAAGTATTTTTGGGGCCTCTGCCCAGATACAGCTCATCTTTATGGATAAAACAATAAAAGAATGGTTAATGTCTGATTCAATGTGTGCTGATAGGTTCAGCTCRTGTGTAGGTGCCTGTCACAGACATTGCCACCCAAATGGTTGATATTGATMAGAATTTTGACTAAACTAAAACCAGGGTCTTTCTGTGGTAAATATCAGACATTTTTGCTAATATATCTGGTTGCTCTACACCCCTAATTTTTCCCAGTCAGTCAGTGAGCTAATCATCCTGAAGAACACAATTTGAAAGGGTTATTTCTGAAAAAAAGGGTATTGTGGACAAGTGTAAATTATAATTCATATTTTGGTGGCTCTGGAATRGATGCCATCCTAGTGGCTGCCTGGTGCGCCTTGGCCTGGCTGGGAGGAAGGTCCACCCCCAGGGGACACTGCAGAAAGCACAGAAGGGCTCAGGTAGGGTGGGCAGAGAATGGATGGATGCAGTTGTTACTCTGAGCAGCACGTCTGAGGGGAACATGTATAGAGGGCTTTGTCTATTGTGCTGCCTTTTCAGGCTGAGTCGATAATGCCAGTGTCGGTTTCAAGCGAAGCGTGTGCCAGATTACAGATAGCCGGCAATGGCATTTGAGAGCCGTTAATTGTGAAACTTGAGAGGAAAATGTGCACATTCTTTTTCAGAGTGCTATTCGAATGATGGCCTTTTTATCCCAGAACACTGTGGGTTTCACTTTTATTCTCTTCCCACATAAAACGCATGAAGTGCACTGAGTCTCTTTCATTTGGCAGCTTATATATTGCATTCTTTGCAGGGACTGCTTTGGCTTGTTAAAATGTACCCCATGTATTAAAATGAAATTGTCACTGCTATGTGGTGCAACATAACATGGTTTGACACCAAGTGCCTGCAGCTACAGAAAAYAGACTTTTATTGCATTTATTCTTTCAGAGACAAGAGTCTCTAAAGGCTCAGTGCAGACATTCGCTTAGTTAAATCTGAATGAAGCCAAAGTGAACAATCTAAGTCGCTGTTTTTGTGCTTGTGGAAATAGCCCAGCCCACATAATACACAGTGATACAACCTGGAAGGGGAATATTTTAATAACTTCACCTGAAACAATTGGATAATAGACCGACTTCCTAAAAGTTATTAAATGGGAAAGCAGGGTTGGTTATKTTTTGGGGTTTTTTTTTGGGTGGTGCAGTGTGGTCCTTTGGAGTTTGGCACAATTGTATCCTGGGAGACAAACTGCTGCTGTATGTGAGCCACTCTTTGACAGGAAGGGTAGTGGATAAATTAATTTTAAAATGGTGTAGACWGGTGAGAAGTAAGCAATATATATGTCAGCAGAGTTATTTTGAGGAGAATACCTAGAGATAAGCACTGGTGTATTGAAGGAGCAGTGAACAAGGTTTTTAAACACAACTTTTCTAGGAAATGACTGGCTTTCCATTTCTCTCATTCCCCTTTTCAAAGTCTCTATACCTCTTCTGTAGCAAAGCAAACCCTTCTCTGGCCTAGTATGTAAGATCTGAAATAATGGTGAACTCCCAGATGTGGTTTAATCATGGTTTGGGATTTGACTAGTAACTTTGTATTCCCGACATTTCTTCAAAAATRCACGTACTAATTCATTGTTAATGCTTTAATGTCTCAGCATTGAAAGGTATCCTAAACTCACAGAAGATGAACAGTAAGGCATTTCCCCTGCCAGTGTTACATGTAAACTACTGTCTTCASCCAGAATTTGGCTTTATGATGTAATAAAAATATATGCATTGTCTTTGGTTTTACTATAAAGTCTGTCTTTGCAAGTTGTTTTTTTTTAACATTGTAATCCTTAATAATTGTTGTTTAATCTGCCATGTTCTTCTCCAAATCCCGTAATTCATTTCTTTAAGCCATTTGAAGTTCTTTTGGGTGCACAAGGAATCTAGAAACGTGTCCTTTGGCTTTCCAAGCAGCACATGAGAGCATAAAGAGCGCCCTTGTTCCTGGTGCTGCCCTGGAGCCAGAAGGGGACTGTTCATTGATGGGGCTGCGCTCAAACACAGCCGGGAGCGCAGCTGCAGGCGGGGAGGATGGCAGGTCCTCCTCACCAGCCACGCTCTGTCCTAATGGGCTCAACCAGTTTCTCTGCAGAAATCAGCAACAACAGCTTTGAAGATTTCTCTCAGCATCTGTGCTTTTACTTTTTTTTCTCCTTCTGCTTTTTGGTGTTTTTTTTTTTGCTGACTGAGTGCTTCCATAGCAGTCTAGTAATACATATTGCCTCTACCCATATTCCATTCTCTTCTCTTTTCCAGAATGGAGTCTACAGAAAAATGTGAAGTAGTAATTCAGCATTTTAATGGCAAATACCTGAAAACCCCACCCGGTCTACCAGGTAAGTCTAGTCATCATTATGGAATTTAAAATTCACTGAAGAAATTAGGATACAGAAATACATCTTAYCGTGAAAATCGCTGAAATTACTGCCCCTGCCAAGAGAGCACGTAACTTCCCTGGTTGAAGCCTGTCCTTTATGACCCATAGCAACTTTCTTGCCCAGGTTTGTATGTTTTAAGCATTTTATGCCTGACAGCAGCAAATTTAAGAACATATAAAAGTTGTGTTGCGTTACTGTACTTTTTCCTTTTGAATRTTGGTTTATTTCTTTTCCAATTAGACTAGAGGCCACATAACTAAATGATGATGATTTTCTAACAGACCAGGAATACAACTAACTTAGCATCTTCATTATAGGTTATACAATACCCAGGATTTCAGGTTGTAGAAGCTTTATATTCATTACAGTTACTACTTGGTGTTGCTAGTTACTGTTACTGTTAACAGCAGTAGCTGTTAATACTGAGGAAATTTCAAATATTAAATTATTTTATATCATTTTTACTTGCCGTAACTTAATGAAATCCTGACATTTTGTCACAATGCCCACAGAACACATTCATTGGTGTGTCCATGCCACATTGAAAGAAAGTTCCAGCTATTATTTTGCTTTTCAAATCTCTAGCTATCATCYGTGTGTCCATCAGCTGTGCAAAATTTAGTGATCATTTGCTTGATASTTACTGCTTGACAAGACCTCCCCAAGGCCACAAATCTGCAACAATTTCTCCTCTCACTTGTCTGAAGAGCTGCATTAAATGAGCAGGAAATACTTGTGAGAATTGTGTCCTAAGTTCTTATCTCCCTTTTCTATTTTTTTTCCCCGCTAACTTCCTTTAGAGTATTTCCTTTTTTGGTTACTTTCATTAAATTTCTTCTTATTCATTGCCTGGTTCTTTATGCAGAAGATGTACTAAATACTCTAATTAAAAGAAAGCCATCTGCACAGCTCCAGTGTACAGCAATTGAATGCTGCAATGTACATATAATTTTTAGTCAGATCACCTTCATGAAAGAATATAAAGCTTTTAGTACAAGCTGCRAGACTCCATTTTAAGATTTCTTTTTCAAACATAGTCACTGACAATTTTTCTCAGCACCAGCTAATGAATTACACCACCAGCTTTGTGAAGTTCAGCAAACTTCAGCTGCTTAGAACAATGGGCAGAGCAACATAAGCAGAGAACTTTAACCTTTGGCTTGCCTTTCTGTGTGCACACTTTGAGCCCCAGCAGTAATCTGTTCAATATCACAGCAACACCCAATGGAAAGAGTGTGAATAGCAAGGAACCAGTAAGTCCGACTTCGCTGTTATAGGGCTGCATGCTCCATGGCCACATTCCCAGTTGTCTCAGAGAGCACACATCATTAAATCCAGAAATAATGCAGAATATTCTTACAGAGACTGCTTGAGATAGAAAGCTGCATGGTAAAGATGGAAAGCTATAAAATGAAAAATGTTTTCTTTTTTTTTCTTCTTTTTTTCTTACTTTTAAAATAATCAGCAATGTACTGGATATTCAACATGAGCAATGTCAAACATCAAAACAGGAGTCTTGATAAGATAGCATGATTGTTTACTTTTGTTCCAAGAGATACACTGAAAATGGGTTTTAATGGCTGTAACTTTTGATGCTTTCTCAAAGGACATGATTCAGCTCTTAATTTCTTGAAGAAGGTGTTTATGTGAAAAGATTGTCTGCTATGTTTCTCTCATGACYGTTGTCAGATGGTATTTGGTCGCAAGGACTATTTGTGAAGGATTTTAATTTACCTGAGTACTGTTCAGATGCAGATATGACATAATGCAGATTGGGACAAAGTCCCTGAACCATTAACTGAACTCAGTCAGCTATGGACGAGGTATCTGTAAGATCCCGTTTTGTGCTCAAGTTTTGGGAGACAGAAAGGTTTTGTATCTCCAAACACAGATAATTAGAACTTGTCATAGGGTATTTGGATCACACAGAAGAGACTATTTGTGCCTCATTGTTAGAGTAGGACTCTCTTTAAATCCATAATTAAAAGATTTGTTGTACTCATTCCTCTTCTTCTTGAGAAGCCAAGGTACAAACATGATCACCTTAGCAGTTGGGTTGATTCAAGGGATCATTTACCTTTGATACAGTGCAAAAAAATATTCACTCCTAGTTTCTTCTTGTCATAGATTACTGTTAAGGCTTGARCTCAGTTTGTATTTCTGTGCTATGAACCTGTATTTAGGCCTCTCAGCAAAGATAAAAGTGTCCTGTATGAAGGAAAATCAAGTCTCTTAGTGCACTTGGAATATCATGGTTATGGACTGAAAAAGATCCTCCCAACATCTCAGTAATTGGCACAGGCGAATCATCTCCAGTTTATCACTGTGACCTCGTAATGGATATCAGTTAAAAAAATGAAGAACCGGAGAACATTAGCGGAAATATGCAACAATATCTGTCATTAACCTCTGCTACTCAAACCCTGATCTTACTGAGAGAGAAAATGGATCAATCCTTTTAGGGTTAAATTACATTGATTTTGGATTTTCAGATGGATTTCTTTCAGGTGTAGCAGTGAACTGAAAGGGTTTTTCATTTTTGTCCACGCCTTTCATCCAAGCTCTAATGTTCTGGATCAGGTTTGCCACTTAATAGAAAGGTGCATTAGGCCCATCAAGAAAGAAATCAGCCTGGCTGCTGGCCATGTACTACTGGCCTGAAGMAGTGGGATTATGGACCAGACAAATCCTTTTGGCAGCTCTCCCACATCCATGCCATCTTCTCCAGCTGGGTTCCCTGAGGTCTGATCCTGGTGATGTGTCACCATGCATCCTGTGGGATGTCTGTGAGATCAGCATGTTTAGAGGATAAAAAGCTAATGTGTTTCAGGGGCAGTTTTGCCTGATTACCAAGTCATGATGGAAGAAGGACTGGAGTAGGTAGCTTTCACATGATGCTGAACAGAAAGGCAGGTCACCATGGCTCTGGCTTTCATCCCAGAATGAACCATGGGCCATGACTTAGTTTTTTATCTTCCCAAAGAGTTATCTCAAACATTAATTTTGAATACAGACTCTTCTTCAACTATATTTTTTTCTTGGCAAATGAGATGTAAATGCTATTGGAATTTTTAAATTTTTGTTGTTGTTGTTTGGTTTGGGTTTCTTTGTTATTGTTGCAAGTTAGAAAAAAGTTAAAAGAGAGTGACTGTTCTGTGCTTGGATGTTTGAGTCTAGCCAAGAGTCACAGATCTAAGCTGACCCAGGACAATGGTACATCAGGAAAGCAGTGTCACAATCACAAGGAAGGGAGGGCACACAGGAAACTTTGGAGGCTCTGTACTCTGCACCTTCTGAAATAAAAAACACATCCATCCTTCTCTGACTTTTATAAATTCGATTACTGCTGTCTATTGTTTCTTCAAAACTGTAGAACTGAGCCCTTGCAACTCCAGACCCCTCTCCTTCAACCCAGTCCCAATGTAAAGGTTATTTTCTGTGTCTTGAAACATTTGGCTGGTCAGTTGTATGGTGCCTAGGTAAACTGACCATCCCTGTGTCTGTGTTAGTGAATTAATGTCATTAAGGGGCCTTCTCCATCCCATTCCTTGGCTTCATTCCATTCAGTTCCAGGAATTGCTCCACTGTCCTCTTTGTTCAACTAATAATCATTTCATGATGTTCAGTCTTAGATGTACAGCACAAAATAATTGGTTGTCCCATAAATAATTAGTTAATATCTTTGCATTTCTTTCAGACTGAGAAAGCACAGCCGTCTCCAGAAATCTGCAAAATCTCAATGCTTGGCAGATTCCATGTGAACTTCATAAATATTCTGAGTAGCTCTGAGTGATTGTTATTTTAGTGGGTTTTATTTGTGAGGGTTTTTTTTTTATTATTTTCCCTTTTTAGCCCTGCCTTTCTGAGATAAAGAGACCAGGGCCTCCTGGGTATATTTTCATCCTATAGAGAGTGCAACCCTATGTGGGGCTGAATGTGTAGGGTTGGTACGGTCACTCTGGAAGTCAACAAAAGGATTCTGTAGCACCCTAGTTTGCCATCAAGATGTGAAGAGCACACTACTGATAATTAAGGTAGCTCACTCTCAGTCTTTCAGTGCTGCATCTATTTTGGTTAGTTAATAGGAGACTTTATATGGAATCCTGCTAGTCTGTGACATTTTGCAATCACTGAATTCAATTAAAACTTCCTAACTCATCTGCCAGAATTGGCTTCTCTTTGGATGGGCAAGTTTAGGGTACAATATTTACACTGAGTTTTTGTTCTTCTCACAGTATCCTTGGATGTCTTTAGATAACTTAATTTTCTCTTTTTGAATAAATGCAAAAACTTAACAAGTTTTTACTTTTCTCTCTGGAATTTCACAGGAACATGCCTCAATTGCAGTAATTATCCTCTGCTGGTTTGCCCATTATGCTCCCTCACAGAATTTTCCAGTCATTATAGTACTTCCTAAATTCAATTTGCTTTGTAAATACTTTGGGTTGTCAGAGGACATTGGSCCAGTTCCTATCTCAGAGAAAATTTAAATCAGGTAAGACACATGAATGCTACATTGCGTAGTCAAGAATCCTCTTTTTCTTATTGATAATTTAACTACAGATATCTGACAAAAAGAAAGAAGAGGGCTAAGAACCCCACAAAAAAACAGTGACTGTGTCATTTTGATACTGACTTTTACTTTTTAAGAGTAAAACCTCTTAAATAGAAAGAAATTATCTGCARCAGTACAGATATATTTGCAAATACCTCATATCTTGTGTTAATAATTTTTTATTCTTTATTTTTTCTTTTTTATTCTTGAAAGAGTTCCAAGCACTGCATTTTTATGGACTCATTTCACCAAAATCAAATTATATTTTCTGCCACTCTCCTTAGTTTAAACAATTGTTTTAGGATATCTCTCAGGTTCTTCCATTATGAAGAAATAGATTCAAATAGTTAACGTGTACTTCATAGAAGAAGGCTTAGAACTTGGAATACTCTATTTGGAGCAA